TTATATAGTGACATTGTTGTGGTTTTTATATAGTGACATTGCTGTGGTTGTTTTATAGTGACATTGTTGTGGTTGTTATAAAGTGACATTGATGTGGTTGTTATATAGGGACATTATTGTTGTTGTTATATAGTGACATTGTTGTCATTGTTATATAGTGACATTGTTGTGGTCGTTATATAGTGACATTGTTGTGGTTGTTGTAAAGTGACATTGTTGTGGTTGTTATATAGTGACCTTGCTGTGGTTGTTATATAGTGACATTATTGTTGTTGTTATATAGTGACATTGTTGTGGGTGTTATATAGGGACATGTTTTTGGTGGTTATATAGTGACATTGCTGTGGTTAGTATATAGTGACATTGTTGTGATTGCTATAAAGTGACATTGTTGTGGTTGGTATATAGTGACATTGCTGTGGCTGGTATATAGTGACATTGCTGTGGTTGTCATATAGTGACATTGTTGTTGTTGTTATATAGTGACATTGTTGTCGTTGTTATATAGTGACCTTGTTGTGGTTGTTATATAGTGACATGTTTGTGGTTGTTAGATAGTGACATTGCTGTGGTTGTTATAAAGTGACATTGCTGTTGTTGTTATATAGTGACATTGTTGTGTTTGTTATATAGTGACATGTTTGTGGTTGTTAGATAGTGACATTGCTGTGGTTGTTATAAAGTGACATTGCTGTTGTTGTTATATAGTGACATTGTTGTGTTTGTTATATAGTGACATGTTTGTGGTTGATATATAGTGACATTGCTGTGGTTGTCATATAGTGACATTGTTGTTGTTGTTATATAGTGACATTGTTGTCGTTGTTATATAGTGACATTGTTGTGTTTGTTATATAGTGACATGTTTGTGGGTGTTATATAGTGACATTGCTGTGGTTGGTATATAGTGACATTTCTGTGGTTGTTATATAGGGACATTATTGTTGTTGTTATATAGTGACATTGTTGTGGCTGTTATATAGTGACATAGTTGTGGTTGTTATATAGTGACATATTTTTGGTTGTTATATAGTGACATGTTTGTAGTTGTTATATAGTGACATTGCTGTGGTTAGTATATAGTGACATTGTTGTGATTGCTATAAAGTGACATTGTTGTGGTTGGTATATAGTGACATTGCTGTGGTTGTTATATAGTGACATTGTTGTGGTTGGGTTGCGGTAAATGTTTACTACGAGTACGCTATTTAAGTCATTCTGTTTTTGTTGATAATAAGCATAACAATACTATCGCAGAGTTGTTATTTTTACGTTGTAATTTTAAAATGCACGTGAACATCATATACGTCATTTTCTGAAGTGCCTTCCGTTTTGGAGACCGCAGTGGGACAGTACCTTGTGCAGCAGATGGCGGGTCATTTGGAGACCGCAGTCCCTTGTCAACAACGTTAATTTGTTATATGTTAACGTATCTACTTATCGAGGTATAGAAACCCAAGGAAATCCAAACTCCGACTAGCAACAAAATATATTACGTCTCGTCTACTTTAGATAGCCGTGATTAACATCTGGAAAAGTGGCATTTGCAAAATAATTCACTTTAAAGATGTACTTTTCTGATGATTAAATCATATTCAAGTCTCCTTTTGATCTGGTGTAACGGGTTCTTGTAATATTTAACAAATTATGATCAATTTAAAAACATGCAGGCTGAACAGTTTGTCAAAAAATTAGATGCCTATTGTTTGTAAAATGTCAATATGAAACAAGGATATGCAACAAATTCGAAAATTGTTCATTATTGGTATTTTTTTGTATATTTTGTGTAAATGATGCACTTTTGAAATTTAACCCCGAAAAAGGTCAGAGAAAAACCCCCACAAGTATGGGACAAAAGAACAAGCTAAAGGACCTTCCGTTTTTGTGGCTGTTTTAGAAAGAGAAACACATTTTTTTTCCAAGAAATCTTTATAAAAAAAAAATAGTAGAACTTTTTACATCAAGAGTAAAATCTGCTAAGAATGGTGAAAAAATGAGTAATCTTTTTTATGAAAATAAAGGAATGGGTAAGTTACATTTTAAATCCGTTTTTTTTTGTAGTTAAACGAATTACTTGAAGAAATTTTACTTCTTTCATTCAAACGAAAGTACCATTTTATCAATTCTAAAAACATTCATACATATCGGATAACACGCTTAAAAGAAATTGTATGAATTTGTCTGAAAATGGTCAAAACCCAGACCATCACCTAAAATCACCTATTGTGTTGAATTGGTTGACCGATCATAGTCCAAAAACTAACACTCAGACACATAATTCTTTTTGCATTTTCTGCTTTGCCATTAACTCCTTTTTCCAAAAATGCATATCAGGAAAAAAAGTTTAATACAGGATTTATATTACTTCTCCGAGAAGTTCATCCTCAAGTGTACTTTAGTTTGATGTCTTACGGTCTCAGATAAAAACAACCCACACTCATTTCTACATCTTGTTCATATAGTATAAATAAATGCATATGAAATTACCATTTCTAAACATTAAATAGAGTGTTCCTCATAAACAAAAGTATGCCAAAAGTGTACAAGTGTGTGGAATGGGGCAATCACAAAGCTGGCACGGGAAAGTCTTCTGAAGGCTTGGTTATGACAGGACGGGCCTTCTGTTGCTAAATACAGCGATCCTTTCCAGTCATCCGAAGCCATTAAGATGGACAATTTTGCGGCAAACAATCCCATACGACCATTGATTGTGACGTGCAGTTACTATGTGTTTGATTAAATATGGGAAATTAATTTTACAAATATATTTCCGACATTTGTTTCCTTATCACAACAAAGCGAAATTTCATAATACTCGACATTGCGATTTACCAGGTCGAAGTTCAAGATACATTTTTTAAAATATTAGCTCATGAAAATCACGTATATTTTCGACTCACTAATTTAATATATAGACTTTAAAGCTCTAAATAAAGAGATAGTTACTCCAAATATTATTTCAGGTTAACAAGTAATAATTTGAAATTCGACTTTGCTCAGAAGAAATTGCTAAAACTCAAAAAATAATATTCAAGTTTGCATATTTTCTTCTTCTATTCACAAATATCATTACTTAAATACTTCACTTAAGAGAATACGCATGAAATGTAATAAAATATATTTGACAATTCCATGAAAAGAAACGTACTACAATGTAATACTCTGATAAGTCATCCCGAACACTATATATAGATATCGGTTGTTTGTCAGACGTTATAGCGTGCAGTTGTCGACGATGTTCATGATACAATAAACCTCGAAATGTATAAATATATTACCCCAATGAAAATATCTCTATTACAATTACTATACACTTTTATCAATCGTCAATATTAAAGTAACATGCTGCACTTTCCCATTATTTATTGGCTAATGTTTGAGTTATCTCCCTTAAAGGTTTGAGTTATTCCCCTTTCTATTTAATGAATACATGTATAATCAGTTTAGTTAGCTTCCTACCGGACTTACTGTATCTAAGCGTTCAGACTTATGGCAATAGCAAATACTCTGTATACATGTAACTTCTAAATGCTTCGTCCACTAACCACCCCATACTAAAATAGCCATTGGTAACCAAGTACTTGCTGCTAACTAATTATTTAATAAGGAATGTCCACCACAATTAAAAAGGACATACCTACCACTGTATAAAAGAGACCTACCATCCTATTGAGGACACGCCTACAACTAAAAATATGTTTGTACTGGTGTTTTTTTTTTATCTCTAGCACACATGTAGTACACACGTAAATCTCATATATATATGTAATATATATTCTGTGTATATTCTGTAAAAACAATCTTTGCTATATTAGCATTGTATGTATACTACGTCCTAAGTTATTCTTGTGTGATATACAAGTATTCATTCATTATTAACTATGTCTTTTATTTACCTATTCTGAATACTATTTATCTGTGATCACATTTAATGCTTTTCATATTTTAACAGGTAGGTGACTCCCAATCACTTAGAAACCTGGGATATGTATACTTTCTTTTTCTGTGATGATTATAACTGTTTTATTATTAATGTATATGTGATTATCTCCCTTTACTTGTTATAATATGTTATTGTTATTTGTACATGTTTGTCGCAATAATAGCTCTCAAGAGCTAATGTTCCTTGTTTACCTGTATGCGACGTTAAATAAAGTTTCTTGTATCTTGTTTTCTTGTATCTTGTAGGTGTAGCGACCCCAGCGTTTGATATACACTGTAGCAAACATCGCTGCATTGTAATATATTTACATTTGCCCCCGCGCCGTCCCATTACAACAGTGTTAGAGGGCAAGTGTAATTATATAGGCTATAATTTCAAATGCTCGACTATAATTACAACTGCCTGTTTCAGGTGTAGGAATATGTAAAGAAAAAAAATGGCCGCCTGAAATGTATTTTGAGGCAGGGCAAATGGTTTTTGTAGGAATATGTCTTAAAAAAGAAAAATATGTAAATATAAAAAAATACCTGGTTGTCTGGATGTAATTATTGTTAATATAATTACAAGTGGCCTCTGGCAAATCAAATTGTATCAACAATAATTACATCCAGACAACCAGTTATTGTTTAAATGAACGGTATAGCAGGTTTCATTTGGAATTTAGATTTATATCCAGTCAAATAGTATGTATACTTATATTCGTTACAATTCTAGGTTAAGCATTACATCAAAAATTTGTAAAATTACATTTGACGTAACACTATGTTTTCATAAAAAAATGTTATGTTATGCTAGTTTCCCATGATAACAGTGATTTGGAAGGTCAACACATTTCACTTATGTCAACATAACGTTTAATAGTTGACATTTCGAGTTAGTTTGTCGCATTATTTATTAGCCGGTCAAAATGTAATTTTAGATGCTCAGTATCTGGACATTTGGAAATTTCGTGCTAGTGGCTTTAGGTTCTATTTCGTAAGTCGACAGTTCGATTTGGTACATGTAACATACAACTTTCGATTATCGATATAATTAATTGTCGATAATAAGAAAAACATTCGCAGTAGATACCTTTTATTGTTATTATTTAATGATTTTTGGTACATTGTATTAAGTAAAACAGATTTTCTACTTTTGAGGAACGTTTACCATTGCTCATCGTTCCGCTTTACTGTCATTGATACACGTTGTACCGCGGGAGTGCTCTTATACATATAGTTACAGTGTACTTGGAGTATAGTGTCAGTGCTATAATATATATTTGCATCTATTTACATGAGCACAAGTTACAGACATGAATGAAAACGAAATTGACGTTTTCCACGTCGATGTATTCATCAAGGGATCATGGTTTTATGGTCGTATTGTTTTGCAAGACCCGTCTCTTTCGCGCAGTATAACCAAGTCTCTGTCTTTTACCTCCAGTGTATGCGAGATTTCGCCTCTTGCGCACAGTATATCCGAGATCATTTCTTTTGTCTGCAGTGTATGCGAGATCATTTCTTTTGTCTGCAGTGTATGCGAGATCTCGCCTTTTTCGTGCAGTGTATCCAAGTTCCCGTCTTTTGTCTGCAGTGTATGCGAGATCTCGCCTTTTTCGTGCAGTGTATCCGATGTCCCTTCTTCGTTGCGCAGTGTAGCCTAGTTCCCGCCTTTTCTGTGCAGAGTAGGGAACTGCTGCAGCGCCAGACTTGTCTTTCGTTAGACTTTTATATTCTGGGTACTGAGGAACAATCTCCTTTGGTGCTGATTTGAATAGTTCTAGCTCAAGATATGGATCCGATGTTCCTGATATAAAAAGTAAATTTTTGAATAAAGACAACATTCATGTTTCTTTCACTGGAAATAGACCTATTTTCTTTCTTCATATTCAGTACAATTATTTACCATGATTGTATTTTACTTCTTTCAGCGGCTTTCAAAAATTCATTTAATAGTGTGAATAATTCATTTAAAAGGGTAAATAATTAACTTAATCATTTTTTTATCATATTTGATATCCGCTTTCCACATCAGTGTTCACTGTAACAGATCAGCATTACTTTCCGATTCGTTTACGAAACTTCTTTGTGAAACACTAGTTGGTGTTATTAAAAAAAACTTAATTTGTCATGAATCATGTTTGATCTACTTTTGTTCATTGGAAATATATATACATTGTACCGACGAGTATAATGATAACGAAATCATGACCCTCTACACTTACACTTTGCTTGATCGTTGTTATAGCAAAGATAGTATTGCCACCACTAACTAGGTCCTGTAGTTCTCGACCGTGCTGTATCTGAACTATGTGGACTACTTCACTTACAAAATAACGAAAACCAAAACGCATAAGTATTGGAAATATTCCAAAGATGTTTGGTGGGAAATTATTACAAAGCTATAAGACAATACGGATGCGAGGTGATTTTTTAAAGTCGTAGACAAAAAATAGACTTGAAAAGTACAAAGATTATATTTTATAAAACAAATGTATTTACTATCTGTGTTACCAGCTCTATGTCTGATGTGTCCTGATGTATTTACACTGTATCACCGGGAGAGACTTTGGAAACACGGAATGTCTGTTTTTTAAAGTTCATATCTCATCTTTAACTCTTAATAACTTAAACTATGTCATGTGCCTTTCCTTGTTGCGGATTCCTTTTCGATACTCACCATCGATACTGGCCACACCACACAAACATAGCAGGGTCAGGGCGGTAAACACATCCATTCTTGTCAATGGTAATGTCGATATAAAATCTGAAATGTGTGTAAGAAAAGGAAGAGTAGTTTCGATACGTCAAGATGGTACTACAATATACTTCCTCACATCCATTGGCCTCTTTACCTCTATACAGAATGTATGCTCTCACCCACGTTACTGCAAGTAGATTCCACTGTATCATCACTCTTTAAATTTGTCGAGTATTTTTACAGAGATGTTTTAAAATAGATATTATACGATATAGCTTTACCTGTTTACTGGTCATGTTAAAGTCTGGTTAATGCTTTGTTTGATTTTGAAAATTTACATCGTGATGTTTTCCCTTTGATAATAATCAAACAAAGATATAACATATTGATGCATATATGAAAGATTGTCACTATTTGCTATATAATGACTCGCCCAAAACTTTGAGTATGAAAAACGACGACTAGATTCTGTTTGTGTTTTAACGAGGTGGATCACGGTGAATATTTTCTTGTGTCTTGTGTCATGCAACAGTTCATTGCAAAATTACTATCTTTTTCTTCAAATACGTTATAATGATGACAGTATTTTGCTGATATATCTTCATAAAAATGTACTGATACAGGATAACAAAATTAAAAAGGACCCAAATCGATCTCATACGTATGAAACAAACCTATTTTTAAATCTTTGCTAGTCGTGCAACAGTTCATGTTTTAACATAATGCCGACGTAGAAAACCCAACCATGTATATTTAATGTACGAGTATTATGAATTAAAAAAGTTGTTTGTTCCATATGTTAAAATGGCGCGTGCGGCTTAGGACCATATGCCTTTTTTTTCGGAAACTAGGAATTATCTTACAGTATGGAAATACTTTTATCCATACAAAAACAGAGACTTAGGACGAGGTAATATTTATTACCGGGATGGGACCGATACAACATATTTTAATAAAACAAAAACATTGCATATCCTTTGGCCATAAAATACATAGAAATATCATATGCATATAGCGACATTGCAAGTAAATATGTCCCAATATGATATACCTTTGTTAACAGCTGAGAACGATAACATATCTTCATAACTTATAATGAAATAAACACATTTTTGAGATGACCTCGTGCTTGTCTCGATCTACGCTCTCCTGCTTGGTATCTTTTACAACGAGAGGAGATGTATAATATGTAGACATTTTTACGGATTAGTGTAGGGGCAAAGTTGAGTTTTCGGCCTGGGAAATAAAACATCACGCTAGCATTTCTTCTGACATCATCAATCATACAGTGATTCAAGATTTCCCCTCGGAGGAAAATAAATACCCATAAACAAATCAACACTGGACTTTATCTAAACAATTATATATAGTAAAACGTGCTGATTTATTAACCTCGTATATTACACTATCTTGACGTTCTTATGTTTCTATGAGTCCCGGGGCTGCGGTGGCTGGGTGGTTAAGGCGTCTGACTAGCCTCCACCAATGGGTCGAGGTTTCAAGGCCTACGTGGGGCAGTCGCCAGGTACTGTCCGCAGGTCGGTGGTTTTCAGGCTTTCGTCGGACACAAAAACTGCTCAAGTTTATTTTTTGTTCAATAGACGGTAATCCGGAAATAATCGTTCATAAAACTGATACTATAATACTGATACATGAGCTGATCTTTAAATAAAATATGATAATATACACGTACAAACGTCCAAGCAAGCTGTCATCACTCAGAATGCAAGTGTATATAACTTAACAATTCTGTGATAAAATATCTCATAAACATATCTCACTTGTTGTGGCCTGTGGCATATCAATTGATAATTTAACATCCTAGTTTGACACTGGTAGTTGACTATTAGTCCCCGGGGTTAACCGTCACCTTGAAGGGGTCGACAATGCCAGTGGTATACATGTACTTGGCAGTTATTCTGTAGCTGGAAACACTCTGTCACGATTTATATTAAATATACTAATTTAATTAGGGATAATTTATAGTAACATATACGTAAGCTATTCATTTTTAGCCCCAGTAGCATGCTGGGATGAAGTGCTACCAAGTTTGTTCAAATGAATGACCTTGACCCCCTTTCAAGGTCACTAAGGTCAAATGTCTTAAAATCTTCAAATAACTTCTTCTTAATAACCAAAGGCCCAGGGTACTGGTATTGGGCCTGTAGCATACTGGGAGGAAGGGCTACCAAGTTTGCTCAAATAAATGATCTTGACCCACTTTCAATATCACCGGGGTCAAATGTCGTCAAATCTTCAAACGACTTCTTCTTAATAACCAAAAGGCCCAGGGTACTGGTATTGGGCCTGTAGCATGCTGGGAGGAAGGGCTACCAAGTTTGCTCAAATAAATGATCTTGACCCACTTTCAATATCACCGGGGTCAAATGTCGTCAAATCTTCAAACGACTTCTTCTTAATAACCAAAAGGCCCAGGGTACTGGTATTGGGCCTGTAGCATGCTGGGAGGAAGGGCTACCAAGTTTGCTCAAATAAATGATCTTGACCCACTTTCAATATCACCGGGGTCAAATGTCGTCAAATCTTCAAACGACTTCTTCTGAATAACCAAAAGGCCCAGGGTACTGATATTTGGCCTTGTAGCATGCTGGGATAAAGGGCTACCAAGTTTGTTCAAATAAATGATCTTGACCCACTTTCAAGGTCACAGGGGTCAAATATGTTTAACCAAAAGGCCCAGGGTACTGATATTGGGCCTGTAGCATGCTGGGATAAAGGGCTACCAAGTTTGTTCAAATGAATGACATTGACCCACTTTCAACCTAATGTCCTTGTTCGACATTCAAAGTCACAGGCGTCATATGTTTAAGTCTTTTAATAGGTTATTATGAATCAAACACTGATATTCTGCCTGTAGCTGTATTTTAGTTCACTTTTAAGAGTATAAGTGTGAGATTAATACCAGGTGAGCGATGCAGGCCCATTGGGCCTCTTACCATGTTTATATCTGCTGTAGTCAAACGTTTCTACATATATTCTTGAATCTTTACACAAGGACTTCTATCCTTATGACCTTGAGTACCATCATTGATTCCTAAAAGATAACCAAATAATGTCGCAGACAACACGACCGGTAGCCTTCTTAAAAATTCTGACGCGATAAAGAGAAAGCATTTTCGATTGCCTGTAAATACGGAACATGACATATCGCCATGCTCGTTGACTCGCGGTTCGGTATCTATTAAACTATTACCGACCTCCTTTTTCAACAAATCAAAAACAAGAAAAAAAACACAAAACAAAATAATTTTCTATCAATATAACATTATGTCCTCGTTCTCGGTAAATCACATCTGCTTATAAGTTTCTACAATACCCTGACTATATCTAGGGGAATAAGATTCTTTTTTGTAAACAATTATCAACGCAATAAAAAAATTACGCAGAATTTGAACTTTAAAGGAAAATACAAAATAACCGTATTAAAATATTTGGGACTAATAAGGTAGAAATTTTCCGCATGCGTACCCAAGATATTTCTTGTCAAAGTGAAAAATATAATTAATAGTTTATAAATTAAATTTACTCTGGTTCAACGTTTAAAATTAGGATAGCATTTCGGCATTAATCCTTATTTCTAGCTAAAAGTGAAAATAGTATTTGTGTAGGCCTATAAATTTACAATAACTATAAAGTGATTCTGTTTAACAAGTAGTGATGTGACTGCGATTGTTCAATATACATTTCTCCATGCAGCCTTGTGATATTTCTTTGCTTGTAACACACCGACATTCGTGTAAAAACATATCGAAAAAGTTCTATGTGGGTAGCTATATTAACACATCCAACTGCATACCGTCTGCAGTATTCCATGGATATTTCTCATTACTATTATTGTAACAAAATATCGAAATCATTTCATGTGCGTAGTTATGCAAATGTATTAAAACATTTATCTGAATACCGTCAATTGTAATAGTTAAATAAAATTAAAAAAAATATCATATAAAAACTAAAAAGTGCACGCTCGTAGGTTCGATATGAATATTTGTCAGTTACCCTGTTTAGTATGATATTAGTAAAACAGCTATAGACAGAGCGTATTTTAATACTTCTATATATATGTATATATATATGTGTGTGTGTGTGTGTGTGTGTGTGTGTGTGTGTGTGTGTGTTAACGATGCAGTGCGACCTCTTATTGTATGATGTAGATACCTACATAGGTACAACAGCCAATGTCAGTCAACTATTTCCAACGCTTCTGTTTCAATACAATTTTGTAATTTATGTTACTGCAGTAATGAATTAACTAAATTTGTAATATAATAACGATACTATAAAACATAGCGCCAAATAGAAATTGTAAAATAACCCTAAAGCGCTGTACATGAATGATACATATTTTACAGCGACCGTTATAGATATCGTAGATAAAAATGCATACAAATCAGCATTATACATTAAGCAACAAAACAATTATCTTAATATGCATATACATGATTATATAAAAGGTAGGTATGTGTATAGCATCGTTATATCTACTTAATTTAGCCCATTTGAAATTATGTTCATACCTTATCGTTACTAGGAAACCGCAGAGAGATGTTCCCGTTGAAGAGCGAAATGTGTATACATGCAGGCCTGTGTACGTGTTGTGTGTGTATGAGGATATACTGTCTAGACAGATGTGAGTTTTGTTGACAAGGGACATGTGACACTGCATAAGCATTACATTTGCAATTACATTTATCAAATGAACTTATCATATGAGACAAAAAGTAAAACAAAAGCAACGGAAGAATACCATTAATAAACTCAATCTAAGAACATATATACTCAAACGCAAAAACCAATATAGAGATAAAATTAGCTTTATCAAATCTAATAGTATCAAGTATGTTGTGATTACTTAAAACTTTAACTAAGGGTTATTTCAAAGTCAGAAGTTTACCTGGGAATCCCGTCACAGGAATCAGATGTTTTAAGTACATAGCTTCAGTTGCAGTATGAGAAATGCTTATGAATTGTGGGCCCTGTTTGACTCATTCTCCAAATCGCACTCCAAGAGAGTCAAAGAACGGCAAAACTGTTACACAACGAAAGAACATTTATTTAAGTTTTCAAAGCATAAACAAATCTTCACATGTCGAATAAGATTTCACGGTGCAGTAATACCTTCACAGTTCAGTACGAATTTCACGATGTAGTAATACCTTCACAGTTCAGTACGAATTTCACGATGTAGTAATACCTTCACAGTTAGGTAAGCATTTCACGGTGTAGTTATACCTTCACAGTTCAGTACGAATTTCACGTTTTAATAATACCTTCAAAGTTTGGTAAGACTTTCACCGTTCAGTAATACCTTTACAGTTCGGTAACAATTTCAGTATTTAATAATACCTTCACAGTTTGGTAAGACTTTCACGGTGTAGTGTAAACTTCACAGTTTGGTAAGACTTCCATTGTGTAGTAATACCTCCACAGTTCAGAAATAATTTCACGGTGCAGTAATACTTTCCCTGTTAGATAATTCCTTCACAGTTCGGTAAGACTTTCACGGTTTAGTAATAACTTCATAGTTTGGTAAAACTTTCACTGTGTAGTAATACCTTCACAGTTCAGTAAGACTTTCACGGTGTTGTACTACCTTCACAGTTCGGTAAGACTTTCACACAGAAATAACTTCACAGTTTGGTAAGACTTTCAAGGTGCGGTTATACCTTCACAGTTCAGTAGGACTTTTATGGTGCAGAAATACCTTCACAGTTCAGTAATACTTTCACGCAGAAATAACTTCACAGTTTGGTAAGACTTTCAAGGTGCGGTTATAATACCTTCACAGTTCAGTAGGACTTTTACGGTGCAGAAATACCTTCACAGTTCAGTATGACCTTCACGTTGTACTTTTTTATTTGATGATAATCACAATGAAAGTTAGAAAACCGTTCCTCTTCTTAGAACAGCCCAGATACTTTTCATGGTTCTAATATTTCACAATATACGGTTTGAAAGACAGAAAGAAAAGTTGTGAAATACTGAACGATTTTGGAAATTGGATGTCAAATGCAGCTTGAAAAACAAGAGGCCCATGGGCCTTAACGGTCACCTGATATATTTACACAGAGAGTTGATTTTGTTTTTAACATGAACAGAAATATTATTCAAAGTGACAAAAAACAATAAATCCCCCTTATTCAATATCTAGCATACAGATTTCAGACTAAAAAGGATTTGAAACAAGCACCTCTGATTCTTAACAAGGAAAATGAAGAAATTTTAGCACACTGACTCCTTTGAGCCCCACCCTACAGCCCTTGGGGGTAGGGCTGGCTCCCAATTTTCAAAGTATCAAACTGTCAATTCAAGGTTATAATTCCAATTAAGTTATTAACATGTAATATTCAAAGTATCATTTGCCATTATAAACCAAAAAAAATTTTGCCCCCCCCCCCCCTCCTTCCCCAGGGGGTAAACGTGAGACCCTAGGGTCATAAACCTTAAGACCCTTCCATCTATGAAGAGTATCTTCACAGTTCAGTAGGACTTTTATGGTGCAGAAATACCTTCACAGTTCAGTATGACCTTCACGTTGTACTTTTTTATTTGATGATAATCACAATGAAAGTTAGAAAACCGTTCCTCTTCTTAGAACAGCCCAGATACTTTTCATGGTTCTAATATTTCACAATATACGGTTTGAAAGACAGAAAGAAAAGTTGTGAAATACTGAACGATTTTGGAAATTGGATGTCAAATGCAGCTTGAAAAACAAGAGGCCCATGGGCCTTAACGGTCACCTGATATATTTACACAGAGAGTTGATTTTGTTTTTAACATGAACAGAAATATTATTCAAAGTGACAAAAAACAATAAATCCCCCTTATTCAATATCTAGCATACAGATTTCAGACTAAAAAGGATTTGAAACAAGCACCTCTGATTCTTAACAAGGAAAATGAAGAAATTTTAGCACACTGACTCCTTTGAGCCCCACCCTACAGCCCTTGGGGGTAGGGCTGGCTCCCAATTTTCAAAGTATCAAACTGTCAATTCAAGGTTATAATTCCAATTAAGTTATTAACATGTAATATTCAAAGTATCATTTGCCATTATAAACCAAAAAAAATTTTGCCCCCCCCCCCCCTCCTTCCCCAGGGGGTAAACGTGAGACCCTAGGGTCATAAACCTTAAGACCCTTCCATCTATGAAGAGGATTTGATTCTACCCTATCTGGGTCTTGAGAAGAAGATTTTCGAAATTTCAGTTCATTCAACCCTTTTTATCAGCCCCTGGGGGTACGCCAGGGCTCATAGGTGCATACTATCAAACTGCTACCTAATACTTATAATGCTAACCCAAATTGAATTACGTCCAATGATAATTAAACAAAAATTGGTCCAAAATGTGATTTCCCTATATAAACTATAGTAAAGTTTAACCCCTCCCCAGGGTGAAACGTGTGACCCCAGGGTCATGAAATTCACAATTTTGGTAAAGCACTTTAAGACCCTTCCATCTATGAAGGGTATTTGATTCTACCCTATCTGGGTCTTGAGAAGAAGATTTTCGAAATTTCAGTTCATTCAACCCTTTTTATCAGCCCCTGGGGGTACGCCAGGGCTCATAGGTGCATACTATCAAACTGCTTCCTAATACTGATAATGCTAACCCAAATTGAATTACGTCCAATGATAATTAAACAAAAATTGGTCCAAAATGTGATTTCCCTATATAAACTATAGTAAAGTTTAACCCCTCCCCAGGGTGAAACGTGTGACCCCAGGGTCATGAAATTCACAATGTTGGTAAAGCACCTTAAGACCCTTCCATCTATGAAGAGTATTTGATTCTACCCTATCTGGGTCTTGAGAAGAAGATTTTTGAAATTTCAGTTCATTCAACCCTTTTTATCAGCCCCTGGGGGTAAGCCAGGGCTCATAGGTGCATACTATCAAACTGCTACCTAATACTTATAATGCTAACCCAAATTGAATTACTTCCAATGATAATTAAACAAAAATTGGTCCAAAATGTGATTTCCCTATATAAACTATAGTAAAGTTTAACCCCTCCCCAGGGTGAAACGTGTGACCCCAGGGTCATGAAATTCACAATGTTGGTAAAGCACCTTAAGACCCTTCCATCTATGAAGAGTATTTGATTCTACCCTATCTGGGTCTTGAGAAGAAGATTTTTGAAATTTCAGTCCATTCAACCCTTTTTGGCCCCATTCATCAGCCCCTGGGGGTCAGCCAGGGCTCATAGGAACATACTATCAAACTGCTACCTAATACTGATAATGCTAATCCAAATTGAATTACTTCCAATGGAAATTAAACAAATGTTGGTCCAAAATGTGATTTCCCTATATAAACTATAGTAAAGTTTACCCCCTCCCCAGGGGGAAATGTGAGACCCCAGGGTCAAGAAATTCACAATTTCGGTAAAGCACCTTAAGACCCTTCCATCTATGAAGAGTATTTGATTCTACCATATCTGGGTCTTGAGAAGAAGATTTTTGAAATTTCAGTCAATTCAACCCTTTTTGGCCCCACCCATCAGCCCCTGGGGGTCAGTCAGGGCTCATAGGTGCATACTATCAAACTGCTACCTAATACTGATAATGCTAACCCAAATTGAATTACTTCCAATGGAAATTAAACAAATGTTGGTCCAAAATGTGATTTCCCTATATAAACTATAGTAAAGTTTACCCCCTCCCCAGGGGGAAA